GCGGCGCGGCCTGGCCCGCAGGAGGAAGGAGATGGGCTGGTTCCGGAAGAGTCCGGACCTGCGGGCGCTCACCGCCGACGTCGGGCCGCCACCGCGGGAACGATACGGACTCACAGGTCACTGCAGGTCAACCGGGTCAACTGGTTCACATTTCACTGTTGGAATCAAAGCACTTCTGCAGTTTAGTTTCATTTTATTTCATAAATAATGACTAACAAATATACCACTCTAACATCTTAAATCAGTTTCAAAGTTAGCAAAATGCTATTAGCAGAAGTTCCCACCACATACAGAGAGCAGCTTCTTTGACCTTTGACCTTCCTGCAGGTCAGTGACTGACTCAGCTGATGAAGAGTAAAGTCTGAATTTATTTTGATTGATCAGAAAATGATTGAGGAGGGAAAAGTTTCACCAAACTCAACTTTCAGTTTATGGATGTTTTTCTCTTTTGGTTTAGTTTTTATATCCTGGTATAAAAACATTAAAAACTCCCATGTGTTCTGTTGTAATACCAACAAATGGTCAACGAGGCTTTGCTTGGTTGAAATATTAAATATTTTCTGTTCTGTGGATCAAAGCGTTAAATGTTCTCAAATCGTTTATGAATAAAGAGCAGGAAAGAATAAAACTGATGAAATTCAGACTCATTTTAATAAATTACAGAGAAACAGTTGAAACTGAATCAGCATGTTTATCAGGTGAACTACGAACATGAATCAGTTCAGTTAATGCTGCCTGAACTGATTCTAGAACTGGTTTTAAGGCCGATCTGGTTCTGAACTGGTTCTGTTCTGATCCTGCAGGAGTCGGAGCCGGTCCCTACGTCATGAACTGTAACGTTTCCATCGACACGCAGGACGTCGCCGTCGGCCGCCGCCGCCGCCGCCCTCAGGGAGTCGGCGCCCGGTGGGCTTCCTGGGGTCCAGGTGCTGGCTCTGCCACATGAGGGCGCCGTGGAGATCGCCTGCAACGTGGAGAGCGTGGCGGGAGCCGTGGCGCCGAGCAACCCGCCATGGCCGCGCTTCGTCGTCGACGGGCGGCCATATTGCCACGCCCCGGCCGCCCTCATCGCGGCTCGAGTGGCGGAGCTGGCGGGGCAGCAGGGGGTCATGGTGAAAGGCACCGCCCTGGTGGGGTTTACCCCCCAGGAGTGCAGGGGCTTAGCTGAGCTGGCTTTGTCTGAGGGGATCGGGGAGTTCTGGAGGGAGCAGCGAAGGATCCGCATGTGAAAACTGCAAACACAAACCATTCTCCGACTTACCACTGTCACTGCAACGGGCAGAATCATGTAAAGTCAACTTTATTACATCATGTCATCAGAATCAAACCTGGAGCGTTGTTTGAGAAATCCTTTCATCTCCATGGCAACCACTCAGCTGAGCAAAAGGCCTGGGTGGACCTAGCCCCGCCCACAAGGCACAGATCCTCCTCTGAGCTGCAGTTTCCAAGCTTTCACCGCCCCCCTGCACCTCCACTCTACTCCTCCAGACTAGCTGGCAGCAATTAGCAAACACCTGCTGAGATGATTGTAGAAATGGTTAACAGGTTAACAGAGCAGCCATGTTGGAGGCGGAGCTTCAGGACCAGGAGTTTTTAACTGGCAGTTTAATGGTTTATGAGATTAAAATTAGTTACAAGAACTAAGACAGCAGCCATATCAGAACAGAAAAGAGAAACGTTTCAGTCTTGTAGGGCCAGAAAATGGACTTTATGTGGTTCTGCTTTGAAATATAAACACCTGACAAGCTTCTTAAGTTTTAGTGTGTTTTTGTTGTTTGTTTTCAATATTTTATGGAAAAGTGATCAACTTTTCATGCAGGAGAAAACAGGTTTTTAGGAAAATGACTGCCTGTGGTCTGTATCCAATCAGAACGCGAGGAACACACAACAGGAAGTCCGGTGGAGACAGTGTTGTGTATTACAGAATTGTTTTTGAATCGTTTTCTTTTTGTTTGTTATTTTTTATTGAAATACAGAATAACAATGACAAACTCAAACAATACGTCAATAATGAACATTACAAGTAAAAAATAAGATCACAACTCCTGTTAACAACTCTAATAGAAAATAAAGGCTAGAACAAGAGATACAAAATTACAAAACAGAAAAACGAAAATAAAGGTAAAAAAATAAATGTAAGTTAGTGAGAAAGGGGCTAATTGAAATTCTTCCATTAAATCACAATTTATTTACTTTTAAGGTCTTTCAGACATCTGTTAAAGGAGGAAAGTTTGTTTTTGAGAGCAGAGATTGAGAGGGAGCATTTTGCATAACAGCATTTATGGATATAATATTTGGTTAATCATCAAAACATTCACTAAGAATTCTAAAACAAAAAAAATTATTTGAGATATAAACCAAACTGAAATATTTGTAAAGAATTAAAGTCCACATTTATAGATCTAGAGGATAAAAAGTTACAAATTCATCCCAAAGGTTTCTTACTTCTTTACATTCATAAAACAAATGTTTAGTAGTTTCCAGTTGAGTTGTACAAAAACCACAATTCCCAACATTGAATTTAAATCTCTCTCTTAAGTTCTCATTTGAAGGATATATGTCATTTATTATTTTGAATTGTAATTCAAAATAATTTGAAATAATTAGTTCTAATTTTGGTTATCAAAGATTTGTTAGGAGAAATGTACGTTTCGTTCGACTGGGGTACATATTATGTAAGAATATTGATTAAAAACCTATTGGGACATTTATTGTCTCTCATGTCCACGTTCTCAATTGAAGCTTATGAAGACTTGGAACAGAGAAACTAGAAAAACTGTTTTTAACGAACATGAAAAGGACATTAGGTATACCACGTAATGTCTGATTGTTAGTGAACAATCAGTCCCATAAATCCTGTTAAAATATCCAAACTTAATTTTTTTGGATCGTTATCTCTGTTAGGGTGAGGGCGCCATTGCTTCTTCCCAGTCGGCCATATTTGTTTACTCTGAACTCACGTTTGGTCTCGAGAGATTTTAATGACATCTGGAGGTGAAGAGCAGCTGGTTCCCATGTTGTATTTGTTGGGAAGCTGGTTTTTATCAGGTGAGGAATGCTGACACACACACACACACACATACACACACACACACACACACACACACGTTGCGTCTCTTTAATGTTTGCGAAAAATCTACAGCGCAGTGAAACAGAGCTAGCTGCTGCTAGCTGACGGGTGATGAGTTCAGGTTCATAACGTAAAAAGCAGCATCGTTCAGGTCCAAACTTGCCTCTAGTGAGGCGACGCTGCTACAGATTGGATGAGTTTTACTTATCGGCCCATTCTCAACATGCTGCTGACTGGCTAACATTAGAGATGTTTCTGTAGAGAATGGGGTTTGTTACTGCAGGTTAGCATGTTGGCTAATGACATGCAACGGTCAGACACAAACTTTAGCTTCCAGTTATTTGGATTACGGGTTTTTTACTTGTTGACTTGTGAAAGCCAAACTGAAGTTTATTCAATTGTTTTCAAAAGAGAGAGAAGAAACACTTTTAAAATGTTAAGGTCAAATAATCTGTCAGTAAAGGAGCGTTTCATGGCGGGGTCACGTGTCCTCTGAAATCTAAAGATGGCCGCCCTGGTGCTTCTGCTCTGAGCTTTAATGTTTCATAAACTCAGCCTTTTAGTTTAGTAAATCTGTTTCTTATTATTTAGGATAAACCTTATCATTGTTGAGTAATTTAGTAAAGAACTAAATGAATCTTTCAGAGTGAATGAAATGTGTTTCTTGTCTTGTTTTCTGCTGGGTGTTTCTGTTTTTTAGCAGCTAAACTTTGAATTATCTCATTTTCATGAGTGGATTTTTCCCTCCTGACGCTTCATTTCCTGTTTTGGGGCTAATGATGTGTCTCCGTCTCCGTGGGAAAACCGCCATCTGTGAGCGGCGCCGCTGCTTTTACCAGAACTCAATCAGAACCTCACAGGAACAGCTGAGTCACTAACCAGCTTCATCATGAAGGTGGGCGGACTTTGACTAGGCCACTGCAAACTCTGTTGTAGCTCTACTGCTGTTTGGATGAGGTTCTGCTGTTGGTTCTGCTGGTTTCCAGGCTGATGTGTTTCTGGCGACTCGGTCCAGTTTCGCAGGGGCATCATTAGTGTTCAAACGTCTGAATAAAAAACTTGGAATAAAGAAGCTGCACATTGTTTTGAATACATTAAGATATTTTCACCACATGCATCTTTAACTAATTCTTCATATATAATGCAATAAAATCAGGATCAAACATGGACACATTTAGCTAAAACTGAGATTTAAATCAGGTTGAGATTCAGATCAGAATATTAAAATAAAACATGCAGGATTAATCTGAGGCTGAATGTGTTTATCGTTTGGTTGCGTTTCGGTCCAGATGTTTTCCTTTGATTATGTAACCTCATTATGGGATGAATCCAGCTTTTGGCATACGGACATTTATTTATTTTTTTGGAGACATTTTAAGCTGCAGCTGCTGCTAATCTGCTGATCCGGATCCGCAATCTGAGGAGGCGGCGGGATTAACCTGCTCTGTTCCGGGCCGACTGGATGCTCTGGGTCTGAGGTGTGTGTGTGTGTGTGTGTGTGTGTGTGTGTGTGTGTGTGTGTGTGTGTGTGTGTGTGTGTGTGTGTGTGTTTCCTCCGCTGCAGGCTGGGGAGCATCAAGGCCTAATCTAGGTCACCGCACGCACCCTGAGGCTTCCACGCATCAACACGCATCACGATGTTTACATGGAAATCACGTGACCAACATGTAAAGAAACGTTAGTTTGACTGAAATGTCCCAGTTTCCATGAGGCTCTGCTCTGATTCGGCAGAAATGCATGAAATTATTTCATTTCGATTTGTAAATCGCCTGGATGTTTTTCCGTCTGATAATGAAATTAAATTATGAATCATGTTTTAATCAAACTGCAGCATCCAGGCTGCCTGTGAATTAAAAACAGCAGCTTCTATAAATACCCCCTCCCCCCTGGTTTGTCTGTTTTCCTACAATCACTCCCACTTCCTCTGTGCAGCTCTTCTCCCTGCAGTGAACCAGAACCAGCCCGGTTCGGTTCTGCAGAATGAGCGCCACTCAGTGACAACATGCTGGATTTTTAACAACAAATTTCTCTTTTTTTTAGTTAATTTACTGAAATATCAGCTGATGCGGTTGAAGCAGTGAAGGATCAGATGTTGGTGTTGGGCTGACCTATTGCAGCGCAGCGCCGCCGGCCAGCCCTCCCCCACCCGGACACATGCTCAGCCTCTCCGGGCAGGCAGGGCGCAGCGAGGCGCACCGGACTGGAAGCATGGCGGCGCGGCGGGAGGAGGCTGCAGGAGAGGTGTAGAGGCGGAGGAGAGGGAGGGAGAGAGACGCCGCCGCCTGCTGCTGCTGCTGCTGCTGCTGCTGCTGCTGCTGCTGCTGCTGAGGAGCCAGCACATCCTGCTGTCAGTTCAGGTTCGGTTCTGATCCCTGAACAGATGCAGCCGGATGAGGCGGGATGTCTCCAGAAACCTCTCAGCCTGCTGACTCCGCTCCAGCCGTCTCCGTGGAAACGCACAGGTAAGAATGCCCAGATGGGCCTCTTTCTGCCATGTTAGCCTCCTGCAGCGCTGCATCCAGATGCATCTAAATGCAGCAAGCAGCATCATGGATGGATGCAGCAGCATCACGCAGCAGCACCTGCAGCATCATGGTTGCAGGGAACCATCGGCAGCAACAAGTAACCTGGCTTCCTCCTCCAAACCCGAAAGTAGGTTAAGATGGAGCAGCTGGTGAATAATTTAAGGTTCCTGAAGCGTTTTTGTGAGGAACAGCTGGGATAGGTCCAAAGGTTCGGCCAGGTCGGGTTGGTTCAGATCGGGTCAGGGTTCAGGCTCATGCTGCTGAACGTTCATCTAAACCCATTCGTGTTTGTTTCTGACTGTTTACTTCCTGAATTTATCATTTCATCGCGTTCAGATTCTGATTTATTTTGGATGAAACTCTAAAACCTTCCAAGCATCACAGCTTCTATTAATAACACAGCATAAAGCAGAGATGCTTTAGGTAGATGCGCAAACCGGGTCAGAACCGGAGCGGATGGATGTCGGATGGGTCAGGTTCTGAATTTTTAGTATTTCTGAACTTTAGCTGATATTGATGTCGTCTGATGTTTGGCAGATGCTCGGTAGGCTGCTTCGCTGCAGTTGGAGCTCAAATCTTCAGATTTGCTAAAATTCACAAGATGTCTAATTACATAAGACCCAGAATGATGACAGTTTGTGCTGTTGATGCTAAAGTAATGAACAGAAACACTGGCTCCGCTAAAGGCTTTAGCAACACGCACTTAGCGCAAGCTAATGCTAAAGTGCTTCAGAAAGACTACAACCTCCAGCAACAATTTGCATTTTGACGTCACAATTCATATGTTTCATAATGCATTTATGCTTGCGTCTTGTTTTGTTGTCCGTTTTTATTTTCTTCCTGAATGTTGCTTGTTTGATAAGAATTTATTGTTTTGGATAAAAACAGCGAAAATTAAGAAAAGACAAAACTGCTGTCTGAACAGACTTCAGAATAAGAGCCTGAATATAAATGTGTAACTGCTTAATGATCTTAAGTCATCCGGCTGCATCAGAACCGAACCTGAATCAATATCGTAACGTCAACATTAATGTCTTCAAAGTTCACAAAAATTTGCTATGCGTTAGCGGGTTAGCAGGTTAGCGGAAGTCAAAGCTGCTGAGACTGAGTCAGCAGAACTATTTAGTGTGGATGACGGTAAAATAAACTTCCTCAGGTTTTAACCTCCATCGATCCGGATGTTTACACAAAACATATAATCACCACCGGTCCTGTTCAGTCCGCTTTAACCCGACTCCGCTCCGTTTGACTATAAAGTCCAGTTCATTTTTCTGGAGGTGTGAACACTAATCGACCTCTGACCTCTGACAGAACCGTGATCTGTTTAAATGCGTCCGCTTGCTACAGTGTTGCATTCTGGGTAAATACAACCAAAACAAACGTGCTAGCTTAGCGCTAGCAGGAGAAATAGCTGCTGGTATTTATATATATAAAAAATTCCCTTCTCACCCACCGTGGGTGGTTCTTATCCTCTGAGCTCGGTCCTCTACCAGAGGATATATAGATCTATATCTATAGATATAGATCTATATATCCTCTACCAGAGGATATATAGATCTATATCTATAGATATAGATCTATATATCCTCTACCAGAGGATATATAGATCTATATCTATATATATAGATCTATATATCCTCTACCAGGATATATAGATCTATATCTATAGATATAGATCTATATATCCTCTACCAGAGGATATATAGATATAGATCTATATATATAGATCTATATATCCTCTACCAGAGGATATATAGATATAGATCTATATATAGATCTATATATCCTCTACCAGAGGATATATAGATCTATATCTATATATATAGATCTATATATCCTCTACCAGAGGATATATAGATCTATATCTATAGATATAGATCTATATATCCTCTACCAGAGGCCTGGGAGCTTGAGGGTCCTGCAGTATCTTGGCTGTGCCAAGGACTGCACATTTCTGGACTGAGATGTCTGATGTTGTTCCTGGGATCTGTTGTAGCCACTGCTCCAGTTTGGGGGTTACTGCCCCGAGGGCCCCGATGACCACAGGCACCACTGTGGTCTTCACCTTCCAGGCCCTCTCCAGTTCCTCCCTGAGGCCCTGGTATTTCTCCAGTTTCTCCTTTTTCCTGATGTTGCAATCACTTGGTATTGCTACATCTACCACAAGCTACTAACATGCATTGTTAGTAGCTTTCTAGTCTTAATATATGTGGCTTTTATCTCCTCCTTTGGCCAGCTAATTATTCCAGCAGGGTATCTGATTACTGGCAGGGCATAGCTGTTTATCGCACGGATTTTGTTCTTGCCATTGAGCTGGCTTCTCAGGACTTGCCTTATTCGTTGGAGGTATTTAGCTGTGGCTCCTTTCCTTGTGGCCTCATCGAGGTTGCCATTTGCTTGTGGTATACCTAGGTACTTGTAACTGTCCTCTATGTCTGCTATTGTTCCTTCTGGGAGTGAGACTCCTTCTGTGCGGATCACCTTCCCCCTCTTTGTGACCAGCCGACCACACTTCTCTAGTCCGAATGACATCCCAATGTCAGTGCTGTAGATCCTGGTGGTGTGGATCAGTGAGGATGTGTGCATATGTCCATGGCATACAGCTTGATGTCATCCATGTAGAGGAGGTGACTGATGTTGGCCCCATTTTTGAGTCGGTATCCGTAGCCAGTCTTGTTGATAACTTGGCTGAGGGGGTTCAGGCCTATGCAGAACAGTAGCGGGGACAGAGCATCTCCTTGGTATATGCCACATTTGATGGACACTTGTGCAAGTGGTTTGCAGTTGGCTTCAAGGGTGGTTTTCCACAGCCTCATCGAGTTTGCAATGATCTCTAAGCATTCAATGATCCAAGTATGCGGCATTGAGTCATAGGCTTTCTTGTAATCGATCCAAGCCATGCACAGGTTGGTGTGTCGGGTTTTGCAGTCTCGGGCAACTGTGCGGTCTACGAGGAGTTGGTGTTTGGCTCCTCTGGTATTTACACCGATACCCTTCTGTGCCGTGCTCATGTGTTTATCCATGTGTTTGCTTATCTTGGCCGCTATGATGCCTGACATGAGCTTCCAGGTTGTGGAGAGGCAGGTTATTGGTCGGTAGTTGGGTGGGACTGGACCCTTTGATGGATCCTTCTGGATTAGGATTGTCCGCCCCTTCAGTTAACCATTCAGGGTGAGTCCCACTTTGTAGCAGCTGGTTCATTTGGGCTGCCAGTCGCTCATGGAGAGCAGTGAGTTTCTTTAGCCAGTAGGCATGGATCATGTCAGGCCCTGGTGCTGTCCAGTTTTTCATACCTGAGACTCTTTCTTGGACATCTGTCACGGTGATGGTTACTGGGGCTTGCTCAGGGAGATCAGCCACTGTGCATTGTGTAACAGTGTTTAATATAGCAAAAATACTAGGTAGCATCTGAGATCAGAAGACTAAATTCATCTACTGGAGCTGTTGTCAGTAATCAACAACACAAAAGAATAACTGCTTTCAATACTATGTATTTTAAAGAGAAAAATAAGTAAACATTACAAGACAAAACATACAAAAAAAAAACAAAAATACAATATATACACAGTACTGCAGTGTGCACAAAGAGTCCTTCACTTTTCCCCGCCTGGTCAGCACAATGTCTGACCGACACACATTTAAAAGTACATGATGTGTTTGTCCAGATAATTAAGAAGGAGATGTCCAAGCGCAATACATGTCCGATGAAAAGTTGAATAATGAGATGTGTGTCTATGTAGTGAGATGGAGGGGGAAATATTGTGGACCGTCAGCCTCCTACCAGACCAGTATGGAGTCAATTTCAGGTTCTCCTGGCTCCAGCCAGTTATCAGAAGCTCACCATCCCTTAACCCAAAAAGGGTCACCTGGCCTGTATTGAAATAAACAGGTACAGTAAATTACCATCCTGCTAGTTAACTAGACTGTTTTCAGTTATATCCAGAAATAAATACAATCATATCCACAATCAAATCTTTAAAACAAAAATAAGAATATCAGCATTCATTTCATTATCTTAAATACATGTATTGAATTTAAAAAGTCAGATGATATTTATATATTTTAGCATTGGATGCCACCACCAACATGTCAAACAACAAAACATTGTGTTCATTACTCACCAATTCCATTTATAGATCACTGTATGAGAACTTCCTGGCTCCAAGCACACTGGATACCCAGAGATCTACATGATTTTTATATTATGAGGTTTAAAAGTACATAACAAAGAGATTAACTAATTGTTTGAAAGCACAAACCTGCAACTCCTTTGTCTCCAGCTCTCCCCCTCACACCTGATTGAGAAAAGCTGGAGCAGGCCTAAAAAAACCACTCCAGGTGCAATGATTGGCTGACTACTCTGTGTGATTGACTATCACTCTAACCAATGGAGCGGCAAAGGCGGGATTAAGGGCAGTTTACCCTGGGTTACAATTGCTGTTGTGGGACGCCTCCCTTTCCCATATACCTTTCCAGTATTGTTCAGTCTCCAGCCTTGGTGAGTCTGCTCTGTTGTTATTACCACCCATATAAATATATAATTAATTCCCTTCTCACCCACCGCGGGTGGTTCTTATCCTCTGAGCTCGGGTCCTCTACCAGAGGATATATAGATCTATATATATATAGATCTATATATATAGATCTATATATATAGATCTATATATGGTCCTCTACCAGAGGATATATAGATCTATATCTATATATATAGATCTATATATCCTCTACCAGAGGCCTGGGAGCTTGAGGGTCCTGCAGTATCTGGCTGTGCCAAGGACTGCACATTTCTGGACTGAGATGTCTGATGTTGTTCCTGGGATCTGTTGTAGCCACTGCTCCAGTTTGGGGGTTACTGCCCCGAGGGCCCCGATGACCACAGGCACCACTGTGGTCTTCACCTTCCAGGCCCTCTCCAGTTCTTCCCTGAGGCCCTGGTA